CCCCTCTCTCTCCTCTCCCCCCTCTCTCCCCTCTCTCCCCTCTCTGGGCTTCTCTGAGGGTCTGAAACCTGACCTCCTGGAGAGAATGTCTCTGATGAGCAGCAGCCGGTCAGTGGCGCCCTCTGGTGGCGGATACATGCCGGTACGACAGGAATGGAGCTGAAAATAAAATACATTATTCTCAGACAGTGTTTGCTCCGTCGCCGGCAGCTGTCATTACGTAGCACAGGTACGAGTAACGAAACCGTCTCTCTGCATCTGACCCATCCTAGTGTTAGGAGCAGTGGGCGTTCGGCGCCCGTGGAGCAGTAGGGAACGGTGCCTTGCTCAGGGACACCTCGTTAGCACTTAGTCTTGCCGGGGCTTGAACTGGTGACCTTCCAGTTCCCAAGCCAACTCCGCGCAGCCTCCCAGAACATATCCAGACACATGAATATATTGAACTTTTTAAATCTCATCTAAAACTCACCTCTTTGCACTGGCTTTGAATACTAGTTGAACATTACATTTTTACATTTGTATGTGTTTTTATATGTTTCTAGTTATTGTGCTGTTTATCATGTTTTTAATTATTGTATTCCCATTGTGTTATTGTATATTGTATTGATTGCCTGTACAGCACTTCGGGGGTCAACTCAGGTTGTTTTAAATGTGCTAACATACAGATTGATTGATTGATTGATTGATTGAGAACAGAATTGGGGGAAAAAGCTTATAAATATGCTGCTGTGTGGAATAATGTGCAGATTTGATCACTTTGGGGAAGTTCAAGTCCATCTTAAAGGACAGAGAACACATACTCTTGGTCGATGTGCTTGCTTTTATATCCCCTAATTGAGTTTTTTGCTTTATCACAGTTTATTTTATTTGCGTATTGACTGGCCATTTCATTTGTGTTTCACGACAGCTGTATTTGTCTGCCCGTATGGTTTGTGTTGTAAACATTGTTGATGCGACCCTCTTGGCCCGGTTGTCCGTTAAAAATAGATTTTTATCTCAATGAGACTTTTGGATTACCTGAAAATAAACCTGACGTTACTTGGCTGGAAATCCTTTCTGGTGCCCCAGCGGCCGTTTTCATTTAGGTTAAATCTCAATTGTATTTATTTAGTTAGCCGCTACAGTGTATACTGTATACTGGTGTCATATATGTCTTTATGATTTACTCTTTAAGTACAATCTTTACATATTTATAAAAAAGATTTTATACTGAACCGTTAAAATATGATTCGTAAAACATATACAGTATAATATGAACCCATGTATGGCAGCTGTTTTACAAAGTACTGACGGTAAAGGTGAATATTTTCATGGACAAAACTTGATTTTAATCTTCACAGTTGTTCTCATCGCTGCAGCTATTACCATTCATTGTCCTGTTGTTGCTTCTCTGTACATTGTGTTTATAACATATATTGAAGAATAACTGTTTTTCTAAAATAAATGAGAAGTAAATACTTGCTTTGTTATTATTTTTGACCTGAAGCATGATGCATATATGATTCCAAAAGGGAAAAATAGGCAACAGAATAAATAAAATAAAATATTCAAAAAGTAATAAAATGATATCCCACTCAATAAAAGTGAGAGAGAAATAATACACCATTTTTTTAAATTAATAATACAATAACATTATATAAAAATATAGATTATTCAAGATAAAATAAATAAATACGAATAATTAAATTAATAAATCACTTAAAATAAATAAACTGAAATAATATTTGAAAAAATATACAAGTTAAAAACAATATAAAAATACATACATAAGATGACATGAATGCACAAAAAAAAAATTGTAATATAAAAAAGTAATGAATAAAAAAAAAACAATGAAAGGAAATATTTGCTAAAAAATAGTTTAATCGAAAAAAGTTTTTCAGCAGTCATTTAAAAATGTCTCATACATTTTCCTCTCTTGATAGGTTGATCCAAAAGATAAAAGACGCTTCCCCATTTCTATTTTTGAGGATTTAGGATATTTTAAAGGCCTGCACCGTGTCATAAGACGACAGATTATTAGTGGCTAAATATATTTCAACACACAAACATCTCTGCCTCAGACTTCCTCTCTGTGCGTCGTCCCTCATCTGATGTGTTGTACTTCCTCAGAACCTCCTCTGACATCTGCAGCATGTCTGCCAGAGCAGAGCAGTGGATCTCAGAGAGTCTCTTCCCTGATCTGTTCTCTGACTTCAGGAACTCTGTGATCTCCTGGTGTACTGAGTGGTCCTTCATCTCTGTCAGACAGTGGAAGATGTTGATGCTCCTGTCCGGAGAGATTTCATCACTGCTCATCTCCTTCAGGTTCTTGATGGCTCTCTGGATTTCTTTGCGTCCCAGCTGGCCTCCTAAGAGTCTCTGGATGGTTCCTGGTCTGTTGTCTGTGCGACCCAGCAGGCATCCTAAGAGTCTCTGGATGGTTCCTGGTCTGTTGTCTGTGCGACCCAGCAGGCCTCCTAAGAGTCTCTGGATGGTTTCTGGTCTGTTGTCTGTGCGACCCAGCAGGCCTCCTAGGAGTCTCTGGATGGTTTCTGGTCTGTTGTCTGTGCGACCCAGCAGGCCTCCTGGGAGTCTCTGGTTGGACTCCAGAGAGAGGCCGTGGAGAAAGCGGACAAACAGGTCCAGGTGGCCATTTCTACTTCTGAGGGATTTCCGCATCGGTCTCTTCATCCAATGAGAGACAAATCTAATAATGTCATGTTAACATTTTAATACAATCTGTCCAGGTGGAATAATTATTGAACTTAAAGGTCACCTATCATGCTATCTTTAGGCAATAGCATAGGTCTCAGATATATAAAAATCTATAAAAAACATGTCTATGAAGTGTTTTGCTCACAATACCAAATAGATCACCCATTCTAGCCATGTCTCATATCCCTGCATTTCACTTCCTGTTTCTAAAGTGCTGATTTTTGTATAAACCTTTATAAAATAAAGAGGAGGGGTCTGAGCTCATGCGGGACCCGGCAGCTACTGTCTAAACTAAACACTGCCGTGATGAAACGCCATATCATGGATTATCAAGGATTATCTCTGAAACAGTATGGAGCTCAAAGGCTTTCTCTCTTGCCGGTTATACCACAAGGTGAGTTCGTTTTTTTTAAGAAAGGGGCAAAAAATAGGACTATTATAAAAGCTGTTTAAAAAAAAGACTGTTGTAACACATAAAAAATAAATGACAATATTTACACAAATTTAGAATTCTGACTTTTTTCAGGAATCAAAACAATCTGACTTTTTTTAAGAAGATCTCAGAATTCTGACTTTTTTTTAATATCAAAATTCTGCCCTTTTTTAAGAAAATCTTTAAATTATTTTATTTCCCGAAATCATAAAATTATTAATATTAAAATTATTACTTTCTCTCAAAAATCTTTCTCTAAAAGAAAAGTCAAGAATAACCATTATGTGGGAATCTTGATTTTATTCTTGACTCATCTTCCTCTTCCTCCCGGTTGTCTGTCCTTAATGTCCTTCCATATTAAGAGGTGTGGTTTTAAAATAAAGGAGAAGTGATGTCAATCCAAAACTCCTCGCTTCTTCCAAATTTCCTCTGAAGTTAACCCGTGTCATATAAGGTCATTTCCGAGTAAAAAAGTACATATAAAAATACGTTTTAACGGATGTTCAGATGAGACGAAAAGGAGTCGGACTCTGAGGAAGAAACATTTCTTCATAACCGGTGAGTCGTTATTAATAATATTAAAATCTCTCTGTCATCTCACTGGGAAAACTGTTAGAGGGGGAGAAGTACTCAGATTGTGTACTTGAGTAAAAGTAGAAGTACTCAGATCTTGTACTTGAGTAAAAGTAGAAGTACTCAGATCTTGTACTTGAGTAAAAGTAGAAGTACTCAGATCTTGTATTTGAGTAAAAGTAGAAGTACCAGAGTGTAGGAATACTCTGTTCCAGTAAAAGTCCTGCATTCAAAATGTTCCTCAAGTGAAAGTAGAAAAGTATTATCATCAAAATATAATTAAATTAGCGACAGTAAAAGTAGTCATTGTGCAGATTGGTCCATTTCAGAATAATATATATGATATGTTTTATAATGATTGATCATGAAAGTGTTCTCAAAGCTGGTAAAGGTGCAGCTAGTTTGAATGACTTTGTATACTGCAGGGTAGCTGGTGGATTTACTCCAGGTGGAACTAAAGTCTGATTTAACACTTGATTATACTTCATATCATTCATCCACATCTGTGAAGTAACTAAAGGTATTAAATACATG